TTGGGGGGCGTTATGGGGGTGGTGGTGGTGTTATTAGGGGTTCTTGACCCCTTTTTTTTTTCTTTTTTTTTTTTTGCGGGGTGCCGACGACCCCTGAACGGCAGGTGCCGACCAGTCAAGGGCCTCCAACCGTCGGCGGGTGCACCCCTGGTCCTGGGCATAACAGAAATGTGCACATGTAATTCCTTGGCGACAACTGTCAGCGGTGGTAAGGGCACTTTTGGGGGGACATGGTGAAAATGCGGTTTGCTTTCTAGGGTATAATAGACATGTTCCAAAAACGAAAAAGAAAGAAAACAAAACACAACACAAAAAAGAGTCTTCCTGTCTAATGAGTGCAGAGGACAGGGCATATACATAATCTGGTCAGTGTATCCGGTGTCCTTCACAGCCAGATACATACCGAATAGAACAGGAAACAGCAAGAGGGAGAGTGAGAGGGCTGTTTGTCCTGGCCCTCGAGCTGTAAGGGGGCGGAGAGAAACTGCCTCCCACTCTGCCTGCATTTGCTTCTTGTATTCCCATTTGCGAGGGAACGAGCCCTCGCGGGGCCCTTATCAGACATGCACATGTTCTGGGCAGTGGCCCTCAGCAAGCCCTGTGCCCGCCCTAAGAGCGGGCCTGAATATTAAGAGAGGCCAAAATTTGACGTTTTTCCATATGTGGGTACTCAGACACTTGCAGCACCGCAGTTGGTTACAAGGAAACGTAAGTCTCCCAGCTCTTTCCAGAAACATGGGCTGCACTGTACAGTTGAGCCCAGGGCCTGAGGTTGCGCTCTGGGCACACGCATTGTGAGGCCGACACCACTGAGTGGCCGCGGACGAATGAGAAAGCAGCATTGTCGTCACACAATTGCCGCGGGCCAATGAGAATGCGGCACACACTTGTGGCTGGACATCGGCCTGGATGAGCCTAACTGCAGAAGGCCCCGGCCCCCAACTGTAGATCTGGGCCTGGGCGCAGACACTGGGCCCCGACCGGAAGCTACTGGAAGCCTCCGCAGCCAGGCCCAGGCAGCCCAGCAGGGCAGCCACTCCCATATAGGGAGGAGGCCGGTCACTGGCTGGCCATTCTGGCCTACGCAGGCAATGCGGACACGCTGCTGCGATGCAGGGCAAGTGTCTGCATTAGCGCTGCTGGCTAGGGGTGCATGCGGGCGCTAAGTGGTGAGGGGCACTGCAGGGCAGCGGAGCGCTAGCGGCCATAGCCGGGCTGCGGGGCGCGAGGTGGGTGAAGGGCGACGGGGGGTCTTAGGAAGGAGGCACAGAGAGTGGGTGGACAGGGGATGGTGAGGGAGACGGAAGTACGAACCTGGTGTATGTGGAGAGGTCGGCATTGGTGTTGACGACATGTACATTGGTCTTCAAAGTCGAAGTGAGCCTGTAGCATGAACGTAGGTAGGATAGGTAGGACAGGTAGAGTAGGCTGGGCGCTGAGCGCCAGACAGAGAGGAGCGACATTGAATACTGTGTTGGTGCCTGAGGGCTTGAACATTGGCTCACGAGTGCATTGTATGGCCCTTATCTGGATGGAATCTTGGTGCAATTGGTCTCTCTGCTTGGTACATGACTATCTGGAATTCTGCGTCATTTTGCAACTTGGTTTTCTTTATATCTCTCTCGCTCATATTCCTTGCACATTAATGCATCTAGCCATCAACTGCACTAGATTCATGTACTTGTTGTTCTAGCTCTCTTTGGCTTCTGCTGCCGTGATAATGTCAGGGGCAGAGGAGAAAGGACATGAGGAATTGTCCTGATGTTCTGTCTTCCATGTCTCATTTTTCAGTGGATGCATCTGGTTGCTATAACAACCAGACGCATCTGCCCAAATGTGTTTTCTTTATCTTGTCCGTTTCCGTCTTTCCTTGGCTTCTGCTGCCCCTATGATGTCATAGAGAGGGCACAACGCTGTGAGACTGCCTGCAATCGTCTCACCCAGTGTTCGCGCTGAACATAAAATAGCACATACTGAAACAGCTTCGTTGCAACTGAACATAAGTTAATCCAGCTGGCGTACCTTTACAAGCGAATCATCACCACCTGAGTAAATTATGTGTGGTGTGTCGTCACCATAGCTTACACTGTTTACATCATTGCTGTGTGATTCTTCCACCTGGCAATGACCACCGAGCCAACAATTTCCCAGGATTAGTTTTCCATTAACTGTAAGTATAACCCACGCAATGAATGCAACATCACTAGTTTACACCTACCCGAAGCAAATAATCCACCACACATCAATGGGCCTTGCTCAGCTGGCACACTGAATGAACTGTTGAAATGCAGATGCGAGTTCGAGTCCATATGCAATCAAAACGAGCAGAAATAATTCCAAAAATAGTAAAATACGTATAAAAAAAAATCCACACACCTATTTGACTTTCTTGAGCCTGAAGCAGTGAGCAAAAGAGTCGTGGACCTACTCCCTCTAGCAGGCATAAGAAATAGGTGTACTTTTGCGGCTTTTTGCCACCGGAATTTTGTCTCAATCCACAAAGCGAAACAGTTTTCACCTTTCTGCAGTCACAGATGCGGGCCCTAGAGTTTGATCCCCAGACCTTACCTTGCCCATGTACAGTATCGAGTTGAACCCCGAGTGTTTGAACCCGTGACCTGTGTTTTCGTAGTTGGTTGTTGTCTGTCGTAGGTCTGTGTAGTTGTAGGGGTTCGATCTGTAGGTCTGTCAAGTAGAGGTCACAGCTCTGTAGAGGTCGTAGCTGTAGGTGTTCTGAGAGGTCAAGGTCATAGCTGCTACAGTCCTGAAAGGTCAAGATCGTAGCTGCTACAGTACTCGAAAGGCCAAGTCCACAGACTTCCGGAAGGTCCGGAAGTGGCCTTTCGAAGGTGTCTCACGTTTAGCCAGAGGCAAGTGGGCAAGTGGTAAGCCCAACTGCACGGAGTCGGCAGTGCAACTGCATCGAGTCGGCAGTACAACCCCGGGCAGTCAGCGGTACCAGTCCCAGTCATTCGCAGTCCAGTCCAGCAAGTACCGTGTGGGACTGTGTGCACCAAGGGCCTGCTGGAAAGGGGCAGACCAGCGGCAAACAGAAGTATAAATCAAGAGCAGCGCCCAGCAATTCATTCATTCGCTGCGTAAGCCATGTGGAAGCGCTGCTACAGCGTCTAGTGCAAAGGTGGTCTGCAGGTTGTCCGAAGTCGAAGTCGGCTGAAGAGCGAGATCCTAGCCATAGTCAGTAGGGCTAGAGCGCCCATAGCCGCTGTAAAAGGAAGACAGTCTTAGTGCGTGTGTGTGTGGGAGTATTCAGGGTGGTCCAGAGTTGAGAAGAGTTGAGTGCGTGTGAACAGTGGTGTTGGACGTGGTGACGAGAGTTGAGATGTACAGGCGCTGTTGCGCCATAGCCTTTTGAAGTGAATTGCATCCGAACTGCGTTCTTGATTTCCATATCTCTGAGCTTTCAGTGGGTGCCCTGCGCCAGTGTGAATCACCATCTGTTTGCATGTATGCGCAGTGGAAAAGAAAGCGAGTCTGATTGGATTGGTATCGGAGCCGGTTCCCGTTACCCCACGCGCCGTCGTCGTTGCCAGCGGGGAAGGAGATGCGCGCTAGGATAGGCGCCATAGTCGAGGTGCATGTATGCGAAGTGGAAAAGAAAGCGAGTCTGATTGGATTGGTATCGGAGCCGGTTCCTGTTACCCCACGCGCCGTCGTCGTTGCCAGCGGGGAAGGAGATGCGCGCTAGGATAGGCGCCATAGTCGAGGTGCACTGAAGGAGGGAAGTCCACCGTAGCTGCGCTGCGGAGTGAGGTGTCGTGTACCTGCACAGAAAACAACGACGAAGAGAGAGAGAGAGAGAGAGAGAGAGAGAGAGAGAGAGAGAGAGAGAGAGAGAGAGAGAGGAGCGATACAAGATTGTTGTGTGGACCAAGGGAGGAAGCGGCCATAGCCGCGGAGCTCGGACGCAGGGTTTTCAAGAAAGAGAAAGGTGAGGCGAAGGAGAAGGGAGGAGAGACGAAGGAGAAGAAGTCATAGCTAGGGAGAAGGAAGGAGGGACAACGAAGGTGAAGGTAGCCATAGCCGGGGTGAAGCGAGAAAGAAAGAGAAAGAAGGAAGGAGGGAGAAGGAGGATAATGGAGGTTGGCGAGGAAGAAAGGGGCCAGCAGCCATAGCCAAATTGAGGGTTGACCAAGGGGTTGACCAACGTTGACCAAGACTTTGACCGGAGAGTTGACCGGCGAGTCGACTGGCATTGACCAAGACCGATGAGTTGACCAAGCGTTGACCAGCATTGACCGGGGCTGTTGACCACGAAATTGACCAAGCTGGAGGTGGTATATTCTCGCCAAGCCTTCAGCCTGTTCCCTCGCCCTATGGATGTGCACTCACCCCATGGTACTTGCTGAGTCTGTCTGTCTCTTCTTTTGCATTGAGTCTCTTCTGTCCAGGTGATAGGAGGTCTGTGAATGAGGTCATAGAGCTTTGTTGACCAAACCCACACGGGCTGAGTAGGGCTAAAGGCTGCGTCTAACGACTTGACTGACCCGGAGGACACGAACCCTCCCAAGGACCGGTACAGACCGGCGGGCTGCTCGGTGTGGCACAGTAGGCCCAAAATCCGAGCTGTGGGCTGCACAACAAGCTGTCTAGGTCTTGAGAGGACTTGCTGATCGTGTTGTCCTGTTTGCGACGTTAAATAATTCTTGAGGAGTTACGGGGGATATCCTTAAATGCCTCCTAATCAGCAGTAAGTCCTGTAGTGACAGCCTTAGTTGTCGTTCTAGGCTAGAGACCCTAGTTGACAGGATCTTGCTAAGATTCTGTGGTCCTTAGATTGAGTCTGTCCTAAGTTAAGTCAGTCAAGGGTGTGAGTCTAAGTCGTGAGGAGTGGAACTGAATCTTGGTTGTACGTCTTTCACCATGGTTGACACGCATAGAGGCAAGAGCACCACCCCTTACACCAAAGCTCAGGAAGAGCAAGCGGTCGCTGTACTGAAAGAGAGAAGAGAGAAGGAAGCTAAGAAAGAGTTGATCAGACAGGCCAAGAAGTTGGCCTTGCAGAAGCAGACGGTGAAAAAGAAGTTGGAGATGGAGAGATTAAAGAGGGAGTAGGAAGAGAAAATGAAAGCGGTAGATGAGGAAGAGATTGAGGGGGAAGAAGAAGAAAAGGAGGTTCCCCTGACCAGAAGGGGTGATAAACGGGAACCCAGCGGCACGAAGGAGGAATCGTGGTTGGAGAAAAAAGTTTATGAGTGGGTAGCAAATTTGTCTATGGGAGAAGAAGAAGAAGCCATGTTGTATGTTCCCCCGAAGGAGAAGGAAGCAATTATCAGGGAGTGGGAGGGAGAAAAAGACCCCTTGAGACGCCAGACTATAAGTTACAGTGGAAGTTGCGTCTCACTAGGGAGAAGAAGAGGAGGATGGATGAGGCGAGCAAGATGGCGAGGGAGTTGGAGGTGATAAAGGCGCGGAGGGAGGAGATTCAGGCGCAAGCAGATATACAGGGAAAATTAGATGTTATTTCAAGAAACATAGAACTCCTAGCTAGAGCCTGGGACGAACAACATTAGTTTGCTAGAGCCCCGGATATTGCGTTACACTCCATTCGCTTGGGATTCAGGGATTTTGCACGCGAGATGATGCTGCACGTAGGTGCAGAAATGCAGGCAAGAATAGAGGGCACTGAAAAGTTCTGCGCAGGCGCCATTGAGGGCGCAAAGCTGGCTGCTCCTAAGGAAGAGGAGGTGCGCCCCCGTAGAGAGCCCGTGAAGATCAAATTTCCTGAACCCTACAGTGAGAAGAAGGAAGAAAATTTTGATAATTGGGAGGCGAATGTGAATACCTATGTGTATTTGCAAAAGATCGTTGTTGAGGAACAAGTCCTCATTGCAGTCCAAGCCCTCAAGGATGAAGCCGCCAGTTTCGCCAGGTCGCTCGCGCTGCACAGTGTGAAAATAATATGGTAGCCTACTCCAAAATTACCCCTCCCCCTGAATTTTTTAGATTACTCCGAGAGCGATTTGCAGATGTCACGTGAGGCGTCAGGGCCTCTGACAAACTGCAAACTATCCACTCACGCCAATGGAGTGCAAGGGCACTCAAGGGCGTTATGGATGAGCTTGTGGTCGTCCCAAACCACGGGGTCATTGAGGCCCAGTTGGTCAATCTCTTCTATCATGCCATGCCAGAGCCCCTACGTGGGCACTTCTTCAAAAAGAGCCGACAACCCACCATAACATATGATACGTTGAGTAGAGAGGTGGTGTTGTTCGAGGCACAATCCATGCCAGTTTCCACTTTCTGGCACAAGGACTAAGACAAGGGCAAAAAGTGGAAGGGCCGTACCATCTCAGGTCAAGTGAGGGCCAAAAGGATCATTTGATCCTTACTTTGGATGAGGGTGGTATGGACAAGGTCCCGTATAGCCAGATTGAGTGGGGCCTAGAGGAGGAGGACAGTAGTGGAGGTCAGGGGAGGACCTACGCTGCTGTCACGGCTGGAGGGAGGCCGCAAGGAAGAGGAGGAGGCCAAGGCCAAGGGTGTTGGGCCTCAGGTGGCCGAGGACAGGGCGCTCAGGGGGTTGGCGGCAGGGGAAACCACCAAGAGGGAGGTAGGGTTAAGGTCCCCCGCCAAACCCTCGTGATCTTACCGGTCACCTCCAAGAAGAGGTGGATGGCACCCTGGCTTGCCACAGGGCAGGCCATGGGAAGACCTGGGCTTGGACCAGTCCGTATGGCAGCGTCGTGTGGACCAAGATCAATGTATTTACTGCGGTGATCCTGGCCACATAATTAAATATTGTCGAAAGTATAGAGAAGCCAGGTATGTTGCACAAGCAGCAAAAGGCAACCGCCGGTAGGGGTTGCAACTACCCTTACCCCTAGGCCATGTGGAGAAGAGTGCGCGCACCACAGAGGAACTCCCAAATCACATGAGCCTACGACAGAGGTTGCTGGCCAGTACCTAGATAGTTGTCCAAAAATTGCTTGTGTTAGAGTCTCTCTAGGTACTTCCCTCACAGGCGTGGCTGAAGAGTTGAAGGAGAGGATGTCTGCCTGGGCCAAGATGAATAAGGATTCGAAAGGACACCTAGTTTTAGTAGATGTAGAGATTTTCATAGGTAGAGTAGGGGCCCTTATAGATAGTGGGGCCACCCG